TAAATCTCACAATTTCTTTTTAAAAGGGATTCCCTTAACAAATATCTTTGTTTAAGGATTGAATATATTTTCTCAACTGACTTTTTTTATGATTTCTTCACAAGGAGAATCTCTTATTCACCAATCTCCGTGATATCTTTTTATCTCGATTAATTTCTTTTTCTTATATCTCTAATAAAACAATAATGGTCAAGAGCATATTACCATTGGACTTGAGAAAAGCAATGTGGAATCACTCCAAAAATATTTGAATCCTGTCCCCCATTCTGTCTTCAAAATCTAACAAGAGTTTTCCCCCAACTTCCTCAGCTGCATCATCCAACAGTTCTTTGATGTTTACGCCACCCAAAGCTGTATAAAGTTATGAAAATTCAATTAACAGAAATTGTGAAAAAGAAGCATTGAATTGCAAATTTGGAATAGATGACTATTTATACTGTGTAATAATTTCTAAATAGTAGAAGTACCAGGAACTATGTTCGTGATTCCATCCAGAAATCCAGCCTGTATAGCAAATTATATATGTATTATGAGAAAATGGAACAAGAAATTTTAATTGGGGCAACATTCAATTGAACATGCGCATAATTTAAAGATGAATGACTGATTGACAGAGAGGGATTACACAGAAACTATGCATAACCACAATATAAGGAGATAAAGCCTTGGCATGATGCAGTACAGAACAAAATAGTTGCAGATATGCATTTATAAAACAAATGTCGCATACTATATTCCATTTCCCTTTCTTCTTCCAAATAGTGGGGAAGGAGAAGGGTAAGCACAAAATGGTGGAAGAAAGGTGATTAATTTGGGATATTCGGACATCCAGTTATCCTACTTACACCACCATTAGGATTCCAAATAGATAAGTTCAAATATTAAGTTGAATGCAACATATATGATAGTTCATAAGGTTTCAATGGTGGCGGCAGAGAATGGTGAGATAGCATAAGGTACTATATAAAAAGTTAGAATAGATAGAAATACACATGGATTTTTACGTGCTAGAATAAAAAAGAAAGTGTAATTGGAATTCTAAAGACAGATGCAGCAACTTATGATAAAATCATTCATATCAAAACTGGAAATCAGTCGGCCCCATTTTTAATTAGTTTTGAGTCTTCTGAACAACTAATATGAATAAATCATTGTTCTTCTTTTAGTGCATCTGGAAGGTATGATCACTTACAGGAATCCTAAGATCAAGTTTCTCAAAACCATCTCTGCCCGTTAATTTTACTCTGAGAGTTCGAGACCAGATACCAGAAAAAGGGTTCCTTGAAGTATCTGCACCATATTTATTGTACCCAGCATCAGGTGTTATAACTTCCACAATGGGATTTTTGAAACTTTGACTTGTCTGCTCAGTATCAACTTGATCTCTCCCTCGTATACTGTATAGGCTACTGCTCTCTGACAAATAACTAATTACTATAAGAATGCAAGAATGGAATGCACAACGTATATTTACAACGTGAAAATCAGCACGAGACCTTTACCTCTGTCTGTCCCCAGAGCTGAAACATATAGAGTCACTTATGAGAAGATAGAGGTCTAATTTTCTCTCTCAAGTCACCACTATCTATGATTAATTAAACGGATTTTCTTTATTTTGAAAAAATACTAATCAAATATTTAATTATATTCTGCATTGAACAGCTTCATTTCACATAATAGACCTTGATAACGTTTAAATGCTTCTCTCCACATGCAGATGAATTCATAAGGTTATTCATCACTAATAGACTCCGCCCAAGCCCAGCACATGTTTATGAAAGCAAAGTGCTGAAACCATTAAGTTATAATTTTATAGAGATATTGATTGCTTATGACTCTCCATTACACTACAATGTCCCTTTATAGTAGAAGAGTTAATATTTACTTATTTTTACGTCAAGTTCTTTCTATCCTACCTCCCTTAGAAAGCTGCGGACTGGCATTTGCAGCATAACGCTTCTCTTCTTCATAGTAAGCATTGAACCCTAAGATATCCTTAATTTCTTCAAAAGAAGGCATGCTTCCTGGAGGAGGAATACGACCTCCTTTAATGGCTATGAGTGAGTCCTACAAACGCAATCATAGATATTATTTATCAGCAAATGAAAAAATTAAAATAAAGGATTCTGCAAAAGAAACATCAGAAAAAAGTGATATAATATCAAGAATAATGAGTTCAACACTATGACTTGTTATAATAAAGGAGTTCAAAAGATAAAGGGATATTGCCTCCAAAGTCCTCAGCACGAGCTGCAGTGCAGTGACGAGCCGGGATTTGGTGGCGAATGTTAAAAGCTTACAAACAATTACTTAGCGTATCTCATTTAAAACCTGAACTTACGCAGATATAATATGAATCAATCAGTTCAAATGGGAAAAAGAAGACGAATGACCTGCATTGCTCGTATAGAAACCCCGATCAAGGAAAGGGGATATGCAACAATCTTAAAACCAATCTCTTCAAGCTCCATAGGATTAAGTATTGGCGTCTTGCCACCACCTTCAAGCATATTGGCCTACACAAGAGCATATCCCAACAAATCATTCGAAGCTTCAATGCATTCATTCATCTCTTCAATTGACAGAATCGTACCATTTTGGGAACAAGCGGAGAAACTTCGCAGAAAGCCTTCATCTCTTCTCTGGAAGCAAGCGCGTCTATGAAAAGAACATCAGCTCCCGCATCCGCGAACGCCCTTGACCTAACAAGCGCTTCATCCAACGACACAGCTTGGCGAGCATCCGTACGCGCCACAATCACAATATCGCAACCGCTCTCCCTTCTCGCATCCACGGCCGCCTTAATCTTCATCACTGCCTCTTCTCTCGAGACCACCCTCCTCCCACGCGTGTGTCCACACGCTTTCGGCGCAACCTAACCAGCACCATAATCAACTCAATCATATCGATAAGCTGAATCCATGACAGGAGAAACCTAACAAACTAACTAACCAACTACATGTTCGAATTGTGCGTCAGAGACTAATTTGTCGAAATACTGAGATTCATTGATGAAACCTAACTAACCTGATCTTCGAGAATGATTCCGGCGAAACCAGCGCCGATGTATCCCTTGAGAGTTCTCTTGAGGTTCATGGCGTTGCCGTAGCCATTGTCGGCATCGCCGATGACGGGAATGGAAACGGCCTGGGTGATGAGGCGGCCTTGATCGAGAATTTCGCCGTAAGAGATGAGACCGGTGTCGGGCAAGGCGAGCCTGGAAGCCGAGATGGAGAAGCCGCTGGTGAAACAGAATTGAAAGCCCGCGGTCTGAACGAGCTTGGCGCTGAGAGCGTCGAAACATGCAGGACCTTGGTGAACTCCCGGGGAGTCAAGGATTCGGCGAAGGAGCTTAGCGGGAGAAGAAGAAGAAGCATCGTTCCCAGCCAAAGAACACGCTATGGAGAGCGAGGATTTGGATGTTCGGAGGAACGAAACGGAAGGAGATCGAAATGGGAGGGGGCCGCCGCCGCCGCCACCACTACCACCACTGAGACTAAGACTGACCGTAACAGAGGCACTGCAAACCGTTGAAACCTTCATCGCTCTCTATACTCTTTACTCCCACTCAATTCATTTCATTTCATTTCATTTCAACTAGTATTACGGGTATTTTTTAAGAAAATTATTGAATATTTATGAGAATATATTTTATTATATATAAAAAGTAATAAAAATTATATGACATTTTATTTAGAATAATAATAACAATAATTAAAATAATGAATAATAAAAAATTATGATGAGTTTGTTTATAATAACATAAATTGCTTTTAAATATTTTTGTCAATAATGATTCAATGCAAAGTAACAGGTTAAATTTGGAATAAATTGAATAAATAAAGTAACGTGTCTTTGTTAAAAGGTACTGTTTGTAGAGCATTTGGTATATAAATAAATAGTTACAATAATAATTAAATGATCTTAATTGTTATTTTTTAATTTTTTTTCAATAGAAAAAGAAAAAAATCAACTTAAATTATCACTTAATAGATTATATACATTCTTTTTGAAAATTTTATAATTTAAAATTCTTTCACTTCATGAATTTAGTTTTGATGGAACAATTAGAATCACTTAAAATAATACAGAACAATTTGTATTCTTTTACTTTTACTTTAAGAACAAATAGATGACCGGTGCGCATTATGAATTTAAGTCTAATATTTAAAAATGATTTATTTTAATCGATACAATATATATATATATATATATATATATATATATATATATATATATGAGAATTTGTCTTACTTAAAACTTCACCGATAATTCTAAATTATATCAATTTTTAATATACATATTTTGTTATCAATGTTTTTATTCATAAAAAAAATAACAAAAATGACATATTTATTCAAATAATTTATTAGCAACATTGTTTTATTACAAAGATCATTTTGTATCCGTGTTTTTAAAAGCATTATATATACACAATTTTCAATTTAATTAGAATATTTAACGTGTTAAAAAACTTAGATATCAATGGTCTTTGATATATGTTTTTGAATTTGTAATATTTCTATGCAATTGAAAATAAATTTACACGATCGACCCAAAGTATTCACACTATCGAAGAAAGTCTATGTTTAAAAGCTAAAAGAGATATTCTATACCGATCCTAAATATAATATTTACTATTTCCAAAATCTGATATGAAGAAACCAGATAATATATTCATTATGAGAAATAATTTTCTTACAAAAATTCCCAATATTTAAAAAAAAATCAAATTTGATATTAAAAAATCCTAATTAAAAAAAATATATTGTAAGACATAAAAGAACGTTTTGGATCTTAAAATAAGATGTATCGTCAACACAAACGAATGGAAATATGAAAAGATCCTTATATCATCCTAAAAATAAAGGTATTTTTACGAAAATTTAGCCTACAGTGTTAAAATAATATCTTGCAAAGTAAACTTTTAACACCATGAGAGTTACTTGAATTTTGTTAGAGCAGGAAACTTAATAAAATTTGTGAAAATTATCAACGACTAATTAGACGGGTTTTGTTTATTTTTTATTGTCGCGAACATATCCCATAGAAATTTAAGAATAAAAGTAACACCCCAAATACATGGCTGATAATACAATTACCACTTGGATAATAAGCACATCATCGACACTAGAATACCCTTCTTCGTAAAGAAAGGGTTGTTGTCTTTAAAACATCCTTTTTTAAGCCTTTTGATTGGTGTTTGTAGCATAGCGCTCTTCTTCTTTGTAGTAAGTGTTGAAACCTACAATGTCCTTAATTTCTTCAAAAGGTGGCATGCTTCCTGGAGGAGGAATACCGCCTCCTTTAATTGCAGTGAGTGCATCCTACAAATTCAGTCAGATATATATACATATTTATTATCTGAAAATGAAACTCCACAAAATTAAAACATCAAAAAGGAACTGAAATAGGTCAAAAGAATGGTGCATCCGATACTTTGGCCTACACAAAACTCCTCTAACAACAATTCACAGGAAGCACCACAAATATCTCTGCATGTCTGATCTAAAGCCTGAACTTATCACGCAACCAGACATCATAAACGTAATAAAACAATAAATGGGAAAGAAGGTTCACCTGCATTGCTCGTATGCAAACCCCAATCAAGGAAAGTGGATAAACAGCAAGTTTATAACCAACTTCTTCAAGTTCCTTAGGACTCAGTATAGGCGTTTTGCCTCCTCCTTCAAGCATATTTGCCTATACACAAAACGAGAGTGTGGGTCAACAACCTCAACGCGTTTATACTTCATACCTTGAGGAGTCATGATAAAAAATGATCAGCAACTAAGTTACCAAGTTACTAGAAACGAATGAACTAATTCATTCTCAGAAACCAAGTTAACAGAGTAGGATTGTACAAATTGTAAGACTAGATATATGGGAATGGTCCAACATTAGAAATGCACATACTTTGATACCGGATTAGATTCTGTAGAGAAAACTTTCCCTGTAAAAACTTGATAGAAAAGAAATTAAACTTATCTGGTAAATGAAAATCAATTTATGCAGTTCAAGCTGTTAATTGGACAAGTTAAATGAGAAACAGAGCAAATCAGGCATGCGGAAATCTTTCAAAGAGCATTTTGCCGAACAGTCTGTGTGCAATTGAAGAGGCAAGGCATGCATTACTAGGAGAGAGATGAAGATACCAGTTTAGGAACATGGGGAGAAACTTGACAAAGAGCTCTCATTTCTTCAACGGAAGCGAGTGCGTCTATGAAAAGAACATCGGCCCCAGCATCCGCAAATGCTTTGCACCTGATGAGCGCTTCCTCCAAGGACACGGCTTGCCGAGCGTCGGTGCGCGCCACAATCACAATATCGGAGCCGCTCTCCGCTCGAGCATCCACGGCGGCTTTAATCTTCATCACTGCCTCTTCCCTGGGCAACACCTTCCTGCCGCGAGTGTGCCCACACGCTTTCGGCGCAACCTGTCCAATTCGAGTTGGGCATTAAGAAAAAGAACAATGAAAGAATGAATGGAAGATGTGAGAAAAGAAAAAGGAGTGAGTAAGTGACCTGATCTTCGAGAAGGATTCCTGCGAAGCCGGCGGAAATGAAACCCTTGACGGTTCTCTTGAGGTTCATGGCGTTGCCGTAACCGTTGTCGGCGTCAGCGATGATGGGAATGGAGACAGCTTGGGCGATGAGTTGGCACTGATCCAGCATTTCGCCGTAAGAGATGAAGCCGGTGTCGGGTAAAGCCAGCCTTGAAGCGGCGATGGAGAAGCCGCTGGTGATGCAGTAGGGGAAACCGGCGGATTCAATGAGCTTTGCGCCGATAGCGTCGAAGCACGCCGGTCCCTGGTGAACGCCGGGGGTTTGCAGGAGTTCTCTGAGCACCTTCGCCTTCGCCATCTTATCACTTCACTTCCCTACTTACCCAACACCGCGCTTTTATACTATTATTTGTTTCTTCTTCTTTTTTATTTCTTTTTTAAATTTTCATGAAATCACATTATATCTTCCCGTGCAACACACTACCTTTATTTTATTCTATCCTTTCCCATTCTTAATTCTCTTCTTTCCATGTTCATCTCACTTCCAATTATCAATGCAACCGTAATCCAGAATGATTTCTTCACATTATTTTATTCTTGCAAATAATTAGCAAAATACTACTAAAAAATGGATATTGATCAGAGATGATGGAGGGTTTCTCAAAATTCAATGTAACGAAAATCAAAGCATCCTTAAAATTACAAGACATGTGAACAAGAACAGCATCTGAAGAAACATAAATTAATGTATGAATAATCTGTAGGTCTATTCTAAGCTACCCAGGTCTTTGAGCTTCCAGCCATAGTTCCTTTACTCCGATTTCCTGAATTGGCTTCCTCATCTTGTTTAAGTGCAGGGCGAAGATCATCGCCAGAATTTGTAGGGTTCTGATCCTCGTCTCTGTCCCCACTGCAATACGATGAAACACCATACCTTAAAAATAATAATACTAAATGAACAAAACTCGATCTATTACTGATGTTAAAGGATACACTTCTAAATGAACATTCACCACCCAACATTTCTGATCCAAATGTGTGGTTGATGCTCATTCATACTCAATTGTTCTAACAGAAACTATACAAGAAAAAAGTGTGCGCAATGATACTTACCCTGAATAGATGACAAGCCCAATGGTAACTGCACCAAATGCCACAAAGTACATCCAGTCAACCTGGAAAGCATGATTAGCTCTAGAGAAGTTAGCACGTTAAAATGTGGTACACATGTAGTAGGAAAGGATAAAAAGGATGCAACATTACTATCAGACCTTCTCGTGATAAGCAAAAATTCGAATTAAGACAGCCCACATGTCTGAGGTCAACAGAGACAGATTTAGCATGGTAGAACCGTTGATCTGTGACAGAACATGAAACCATAGTTTAATAGACTATAGAATCAGGTTAAATTTCTGCAATGGTAGGAAATAATTTCAAGAATTTTGATGGGTAATATGTTTTTCACTGTAGTACATAAATAACTGTTAAATTGTTTTGGTTCAGAATAAAACATCGGTGTCAGAAATGATGGAGAAACATTTAGAGGGACAACAGAACCAAATAACTGCATCATAGATTTTCCTTTTGATCAATTATTTTGATTAGTTCAATCTATTTACCTTTGTTTTGGTACCTTTATTAGATATATGATTTCTAAAAAGGATATAAACAGAGTAGTTATGGTTTGAATCCATACCTTAAGCAGAACAGGAACTAAAGAGTAAAACATAAACATGGCCACTGCAAATCCAACAAAAGGAAGCGCCTGAAATGAAAATTGAAAGGAATGAAATGAATAATAATGCTTGAAGGTCTTACATCACACACACCAGTTGACATGTTGTGACAACAACATAATAACTTGAATCAGGCATCCTAGTTAAAGTGAAATTCTGTCTATTACTTAATCGTAGTGAAAAGAGCTTACTGCCTCAGCCGACCAATGAATAGATTTAAGTTCATTGCGCTCAAGAATGCTTCTGTGATAATAATGAAGGAGCACAACAAGAAAAAGAAATGTAAATAATTCTGGAAGACTCTCAGAAAAATAAGTCATTAATTGAGACTGCAACTTCAACTCTTAGAATTAACTTGAATTTGGAACTTAATTAAAATTGCATTCCATTCGACTGTGATAACAACTTGATCAATTTAACATTTCAAATATGATCAAAACCCTCAAGAACAATTTGTTAAACCATAGAGCAAACCGATATTATTTGGCATAATATTCAAGTTAAATGCATAAGTTATGCAACAGAACAGGAATGTGTTGAAAGGCTACATGCAGTAAGCTAGCATAAAAGTCAGAACAGACAGATCCCATAGTTCTCACAGTATAATCAATTTGAAGGATACATTTGAATGGCACTAATAATGCCACCAGAGAGACCTAACATTGCCATAAGCTCAACTCTATCAGCATTTTTCACAAGAAACTCCTGCAAAACAAAGAAATAGCAGCAACAAAAGGACAATTATACACAATGTAAATCTGCAAGAGAGTTGAAAAAGACTTTAAAGCAGAAGTACAATCAGCTTACCTCGCTGACATTACTGATTGCATACAGTGTAGCACCAGCAATAACTAGAAGGTCCCCTTTACGAGGATTGCTTCCACCTGTAACAGGTGAGTAAGACATCAGAGAACTACTACCAATGGAATTCTGCATGTTAATGATGATAACAAACATAAGATAAAAATTTGCTAGTTTTGCAAGATTTCTAAGCATAAAGCTAGGGAAGTAACAGTACAGAATGCATAAAATCTCACCCACCTGCACGGTCACCTGAATGAACATCAGAAAACACAACCAGGACAAGGCCAGCTACACAAACAACTACACCTGTAATCTTTTTGAATCTATATTTAGTCTTTAAGAAAAGCCATGTAAGAAGCATGACAGACGGAATTGACCAGCAGTCAAGTAGCATCACACTTGTAAGTGAGGTGTATTGGTATGCCTTCACAACTGTTCAGTAGATGAGAACTAGTTTAGATAAAATTGCAAGTAACAAGATCATCCAATTCCAGCATATAGTAGCAGTCCAATAAACATACAGACATGAAGGTCACACTTGATTGTTTGACCAGATAGCATATAAATATATTAATTTCTGCAATGTTTTTTTATAAGTAATATCATGTCTCCATCCAGCAACATGAAACACTAACCAAGAAAATTTGCTTCCACATCAACCAATCCGAGAATTACATAATAGTACCATTTTGCCTGTGTCAGAAGCATGTGAAGTTAGTGAAGTTGTGATCAACTGTTATTGTTCAGAGAAACGGAGGAAAATCAGAAATAATCATATTTGTGTTTTGGATAACAGCATACCAATCTCAACTGATACTCATTCAAGATCAAGAACAAATTTGTGAAATAAGCATACAGTATTATAACCTTGAGTGGTTTCCTTCGGTATAAGAGAATAGTTCCATAGACAAACGTCAAGAAGACATAGTTGAGAAAGGACTGTGAAGTGGGAGCATTAAATCCTACGAAGATGAGGAAACAAAAGGGTGAAGAGTTGTATCAGTGGTTTAAACATTAGAAGAAGAAAAACAAAAAACAAGATGAAGGAAACCTTTTTTAGCTAATTCAGAAGAAGTGAAGCCTGTGGAAGTGATGAGAAGAGAAAGAAACTGTCCCAAACCCAAACCAATAAGAGTGTTTGGAGTCCAAAGCCTACCAAAATTCAACATCGTATTTGGGAAAGGAACAAAACTGAACTCAATCTGCAACAATATGAATACAAGGATGTTTTAGAATTGTGTGTTTGGGAGGGAATGAGCATTGAATGTTGTTGGGTGGGTGAGAAAGTGAGAGTGAAAAGGAGAGGTTTCAGCAGAATTTCAAGCAACCTCTCTCAGCCGTCAATTATCACTGCATAGTCTACATCACTTCTTGCTTTCTCTTTCTCTCACCCCATCCACCATTCACATAACCACATTAAATAAATAAACCCAATTTAATATACTTTGATTTTCATTTATGAATTAGTAATGTTTAAGGTTTAAGATTACCTATGTGACTATGTAAAATGTTTGAAAGCAAACTTCATCATGATTGCTTCTTTTGTCTTCAGGCCAAAAAAAAACATCCTTGTCAAAATCATGAACTACCCATTTGAAAAAAATGAGGTTTTTATTTTATTGTGTGAAAAAGGTATTTTTTTTTCCATATCTTATTTGACGGAGAGTATCTGAACTGAGCTTTATCCTTTGAAGAAAAAGAGAGTCGTGTTCTTTGAGCCGCGTAAGGTGCTTTCCTTTTCGGCCGTTTTGCTTTTTGGGTTCTGCTTCCTTCCACCTTTTAACGTGCCAAAATGTTAACCAAAAAAGGAAAAGGTCAATATTCAAAAACATGTTGGATTATCGAATATGCTTCATTAGCGATTTTTAATACCCTTTTAAACATTGCTTAATTGTTTTTTTTTTTTCTTTCATGATTACACTGTGTTAGTGCATATTGTCATTCTTCCAATGACAGATCTCAATCTATTTTTCAATTTTCTTAAATGTTAAACCCGTCCTTCAATAAAAAAAAATTAATTAGTAATTAGTAATTTGGCCTTTGTAATTAAGTCTTTAATTTTATATTCGTTTTTTAATTAAATTAAATATTTATTTTTTGTAAAAATACTTAATGTCGTTATTTACATTAAATTATAGTTTTAATATTGTTTGAAAGTACCATCGGTTAAAATTCAGTTTTTTTACATCTTGAGATCCCAATTATGTTTTAGTTTAAATCTCTTTTGAGTTTGAGATATGACACGTTTCAAATAAAAAATATCCAAATTTTGATATTTGATATTTTCAAACATATTGATGCCAATTTAATAAAAATAATCACATTAAGTATTTTTTATAAAAATAAAAACAGTTTAATATTTTTAAAGAAATAGAGTCTTAATTAAGTAAAAATATATATAAGAACCGATAAAATGTCTAAATATAGATATAGTGACCAAATTATTAATTAATAAATAAACAAAAGCATTAATTTAGTATCTCATGTTTTAAGAAAATTCCATCCTAGTACAAACATCGTTAATTTTGGAAAATGACTATTTTGAAGTAATTTTGTTAGGCGTTCCGTTTTGCCATGGTCCGTTTTAAAAGTTGAATGACTTTTTTTTATAACTTAAAAGTCATTTTTTTAATTTAAAAGTTAAATATTTTTTTAATTTAAAAGTCAGATTTTTTAAAAAAATATTTAAATTACACCAAACATATATTTTTATGTTCAGATGCCATAATTGAAGAAAAAAATGAAAAAAAAAACATATGAAGATGCAGGAAATAACATCTATTGTATAACAGCTGTTATATTAAATTGCTCCCTCCACCACCACCACCAATGTCCCTACATCATCTATCAATA